AAAATAAATGCAGAAATAAAATTATTTTTTAAAAAGCAAACATCTGACTCTGAAAATTCATTCACTGACTCACTTATCAGGGCCTTACTGAGGGGCTATCATGTGCCAGGGCTACACAGAGTCAGATAAGAAGTAGCACAAAAATGAGGGACTTTAGAGTCAGATAGATGTGGGTTCAAGCCCTCTTTCCACCGCTTATATGTTACCTGACCTTGGGCAAGTTCTTAACTCTCTCTGGGCATCAGTTTCCGATTCTGTAAAATGGGACTACTCAGTGGAAAGGGCTCTTACGTGGTTAAATGAGGCAAAGCTTCAGTAGCAGGTCCCACATTTTGGAGATGCCTTGAGGATTCCCTCTCCTAAAGTCCTGGGTTGTGGACCCCATAAATCAGTTCCACAAGGGCCAAGATCCACATTATCTTGCTCATCATCTTATCTATACAATCCAGCACATAGTAGGTGTTCAGTAAACGTTCTGACTTATGGACCTACAACCATAGACCCTCTGCCTGCCTCTCCCAGCCTGAATAGTTGTCTATCTGGCTTCTCTGGTGAAACAAAAGCCCATGAAGGCAGAAACCAGATCCAGTGCATCATCCTGACCCCCGGGATCTGGCACTTACAAGGGTGAGTTTCATTCCCTCTTCGGGAAGCCAACGATTCTGGCTCAGCTGAGAATGTTCAGCAGAGATCTTGAAGTCTCTGAGAGCCAGAGGCTTTCTGTTCTTGCTGGGATGGTGGCTGGGCGGGGGCTGGCAATGAGAACCTGGCCCTGGCTCCCCACAGCCTTGTCCGCCCCCAGTTCCAGCTGTTGTCCTCCCCACTCCCACCGTCCCCTCCAAATGCTGCAGAAGGGGCCCAGGAGCCCGAGGGACGCCTCATTAGCCCCGCAAATGCCATCCCTGTTTTCCCAGCGGGGGGTCTGCTGGCAGGCCTGGCCTTTAAAACACACACGCTAATTCCTCCTCTGGCACGGGCTCGTGGCGCCCCGCCTCCTCCCTTCTCACACCTTCCTCTCAGGCCCGGTTCCGGCTCTGCTCCCTGCTATCTGCACAGCCAGAACAGACTGTACCTCAGCAGCTGCTAAATATAGACCCGCATCAGCGGCATATTCCTGGCTGGGGAAATGAAGCTGGGGCTGGAAATGGCACTGGGGCGGCTCCTACCGTGGGGCCGAAGGCTCGGGGAGGAAACATCAAGTCCTTCCTGGGCAACACCTCCACAAAGACCCTTTCAGGCTGTGGAAGTTGAAGGATCCTGAAAACAAGGACCCCGTTTGTGTTTCTCCGCTTGCCTTGCCCGGTGCCCACTTTCGAGCTTCTTGGGAACAGTTTCTGCCCTCCCAGGCTCCACGGCCTCCTACTTGCCACCTTCCTCCCAACTCTCTGCAGCGGGGGATGCTCTTTCTTAGAACCTGGCCATCCTCCTCACTCTCTTGGAGTCTGATGCTTCACCTGCCCACCCCTGTCACCTCCCAGACTCGGTCCTGGCCCTGCCCTTATTTCTCTGTCTTTTTTTTCCTCCCCACCTTAAAGCTGATGAACTCTCAGGCTGAAGGCACCATCATCCCCAGGGATTGCCCTGAGCCCATCACACCCTCACTGTTCCCTGGCCTGCATCTTCTGTCCTAGATACTGGGTGGCCGACCCCCTCACTTTCATTCAGGGCTCAGCCCCAATGTCACCTCCCCAGAAAGGTCTGTCCTGATTCCTTCATCTCAGTCTACTGTCTCATCCTGCTTAGGTGTCTTCCAAGCACTCACTGCTACTCAATATTATGTTACATGTTTATGTGCTTCCTACCTAAAAGGTCTTCCTACCTATGTGTTTATGTACTTCCTACCTAAAAGCTCTGTGAGGGTAGGGTCTTGGGTTTGTCTGTTGCTGCATTCCTAGGGCCTGGAGACAGCAGGGCATGTATAGGCATTCAATAAAGAGTTGGTGAATGAATGAATGAATTCTCCTACTGGACCCTCCCAGCAATCACGTGAGATGAGTATTATTATCTCTCTTGTGCACACGGGGAAATCAAAGCTTAGAGTCCCAAGCATTCTTGGAGCTTTACACCCATATTTCAGATGGCCCATTCTAGATGATTCTTCCCTCCTCTCATCTAAAAGCCAGCAGAGTTAAAATCAAATTAAATAGCTCTGCACCAGATCCTGAAGCATACTCAGTAATTTCTCTGCCGCTCGACAGTTTTCTTAAGCCAACCTCATCCTTCTGTTTTTGTAGATGGTGCCCCTTTCCATCCCAGGTTCTGACGTTAGGAAACCCCAGATCCCTTCCTTAATCTAGTCCTGTACATTTACCCAGGTCTTCAAGGTTTGCCCTTTGCAGGATCTCACTGTCACCCCTCATTCTCCCTCCTCAGCATCTCAATGAATCTTCCCTAGCAATCCCGTATCATCTCTGGCCCCCAACAAGATGGAGCAAGTTAAGGAGTCTGGTGGGCACCAAGAAAGGGTGCAGGCTTTGACTTTTGTCCTTCGGGGCTCTCTGCTGGCACCCCAGGCTCCTGGGTGTCCCTGAATTCAGTGCTTGCTTCTGAGCCATGCTATACAGGGGCAGCCCGAGGGATCTTGTTAAAATGAAAACCTGAACATGTCACTTTCCTGCTTTAAAGTCATCAATGAACCCACAGGGTTGGTGAGGGGGAGGGGAACAGGCTCTCTCCTAGGCGGCTCTTCGTGAGTGTAATCTGGTACATTTCGGCATTATCTATCCTGATTCCAAACGCACATGCTCTTTGACCCAGCTTTTCCACTTCCTGAAAATTATCCTGCAGATACACTCACACAAGCACAAAATGATATATGTATGAGGTTATTCACTGTAGCATTGTTCGTTGTAGAAAAAGATTGGAAACAGCGTAAGTGTCCATCAAGAGGGGACTGGTGAAATAAATTTCAGTGTATCCACAACAGCTGTTAAATAAAAGAATGAGGAAGCTCTTTATGTGCTGATATGGGATAATCTACAAGATGTATTGTTAAGCGAAAAAGGCAAGCAGTGTGTATAGCGTGTGTTTATAGCTACCATTTGTGTAAAAAACAAGCAAACAAACAAATACATGTACCTACTTTCTTGTACATGCATAGAATAGCTCTGGAAAGATACACAAGAAAATTACATTGGTTGCTTTGGGGATACAGACCAGGTATCTGGGAGACTAGAAGGGGTGAAAATTTTCCATTAAATACAAATTTGGACTTTTTTTGGAGCTGTGCTGGGTCTTTGTTGCTGTGCGTGGGCTTTCTCTAGTTGTGGTAAGTGGGGGCTACTCTCTAGTGGGATGTGGGCTTCTCATTGCCGTGGCTTCTGTTGTCGCAGAGCATGGGCTCTAGGCTCACGGGCTCAGTAGTTGTGGGTTGTGGTGCATGGGCTTAGTTGCTCCATGGCATGTGGGCTCTTCCCAGACGAGGGATCAAACCTGTGTCTCTTGCATTGGCAGGCAGATTCTTTACCTCTGAGCCACCAGGGAAGCTCCCAAATTTGGGCTTTTTGAATCTTGAAATGTATTATCTATTAAAAAAATTTTTTTAAACAATATTTTTCAAGTGAATGAGTTCAAGGTCTCATACGATATGTACACCACGTGGCTCCCTTTGGGGTTGCAACTTCTGAGGGTGAGACTGCTCTTCCTTCCTCTCTTTTTAAAAACATTTCTTTCATGTTTGAATGTTTTCTAAAATGTATTAGTTTTGCAAGGAGAAAAAGTAATGCAGATATTATGTGTAAGAGCATGTGATTATAGACTGGAACCCTCCCCCTAAACAAAACAAACTCACACACATACAATATCCCAATCTCAAATCTATCAAACACCCTCCCACCCCACTGCCCTTAGAATAAAATCCAAGCGCTTTGCTTGCCTTGCATGCGATGCAGCCAGGCCCCAGCCAGCCTCTCCAGGTCACCTCTCCACAAGCCTCTTCCTCAGTCCTGAGTTGTTTACAATTCCCCTTATGCCTCAGGCTGTTCTCTTCCTCCCAGTTTTGCCTGCACCATGCCCTCTGCCTGGAATGCCCTTCTTTGCATCTCGGTCTGGCCAGCACTTTATCCTTTGGAGATTGCTACCACTGCCTCAGAGAAACTGGCATCCTCATTGCCCATGCAGACGCCTGTCCCCCTGCCGCCACTGGACTAGGAGCCCCATGTTGACTTTCAATAAACATTTGGTGGTGTCTGATGTTGCAACCCCTGCCTCCTTCAGTCCCAGGACCAGTGAGAGCACTGCTCTTGGCATCGGCAGCCTCAGCCAGCTGTGGGACCTCGAGTGAACCAGTTCACCTCTCTGAGCCTTCTCCTTCTGTCCTCTGTGCACCTCCGGCAAGCCACCGGAGTACATCCCCCACCCGGGGATGGACTCAGGTTCCAGCCTCAGAGCGAGTGAAGCAGTGGGCAGTGGGGAGGTGTGCCGCACCATTGCTTGGTGGTGGTGGGGAAAGCAGTAAGCCAAGACCTTCCCTAACGGTCTTGGCTTCTGTCTTCCCATCAGATCCTTAACAACTGTCACTTGAACAGAGGTTTCACAACTGCCAAAAATGTGCCCTGTACAGGCCCACTGCCGCCCCCTGCTACCTGACGGCCCCCAGCTACACTTATGACCATGGCCGACTCATACGGACTGTAGGTGCGTCTGCTCCAGTTTAGTTCTCAGGCCAAAGTGGGGGGCCACTGAGTTCAGATCTCTGGCGTCCTTTCAGGAGGCCTATAGTGGTTGCCTCCCGCCTTTTGGTTTTCGTGCCAGTCTTGCAGGTGCCCCCCACTCCATTTTCCCCCCTCCTGCTTTGTCCTCTCTTCCTGCCTGGCCGCCCTTCCTCTCCGAGACCCTGGGGTCTCCTGGATCCGACGAGATGCTTCGGTATCCTGTCCCACCCTCAGCGCTGTTGGTAGGAAGGCTGAGAGCGGAGGTCCGCCCGCCTCTCTGGTCCCGCCCCTTATGCCACGCCTCCAGCCCCGCCCGGCCCCGCCCCTTTGGGAAGCCCCGCCCCTCACCGGTCTTGGGGTCCACAGTGAAGTGATGCTCGCCATCCAGCACGCTGTACACCAGTCGAGCGCTGCTGCCATACGTGGGGTCATCTGCATCCGAGGCCATCACCTGCATCACCGATGTGCCTGGGCCCGGGGGACCAAGCGAGACAGAGGTCAGCTGGCGCTGCTGTGCTCGTCCTCTCCATCTCTCCCCACCCACGAGAAGCTGAGAAAGGAGACTGAGGCTGGAGGTCACTGAAGCCAGTCCTTTCACAGTCCCCTTGTCCACATTAAGCCCCAACCCGCTTCCAGATCTGGGGGCCTTCCCAGCAGCATGAGCAGGACCATGGAGCCAGATCTGGATTCAAAACTCCTTTCCCAGCCGCAGGACTCTGGCGCGAGAAGAAAGCCTCTCTGAATCTCAGTTTCCTCACCAGCAAAATGGGGACAATCCTAGTTCTTGTTCATGATGGAACACATTTTAAACTCCCAATCTACCGTGAATGGGCTCAGAGCCATCTCTCAGTGGTGGTGGAAATGGTTAATTTCACCAGTTAAGGTCATTACTGTCAGAGTTAGAGCTGAGACTGGAAACCACGCACTTTACTCCCAAAGCAGGGGTCTTTCTACCCATCCCAACCCATCCTGATTTCTCAAGGAAATTCTGCCTTCTTCCTCCCATCCTCCATACTCCCATCCCCACCATGGAGGGAGTGTGTGCGGAGGTCAATGCAGGACAACCAAGTTCACTGAGACTCAGCAGCCAGTATCTCTTGGCCCCAGGCAGAACAGCAGCACCCAGCTCTTGCTTTGGGAAGTAGTTGGCTGTGGTCCTTGGTGTCCTCCTCGCCCCTCCCCCCGGGTGCCCAGACAGCCCCCAGCCCCAGCGCGCACACTTCTCCTCATGCTCCGCACGTAGGCTGCTGGGGAGAGTATAAATTGGATAAAAGTCCATCAAACAGCGGCAATTAAGTTATTGATTTTCGACGCTGCCTCATTAAACTGGGAGCTTCTCTCGGCCTGTCCCAGAGATGGCTCTAATTTGACATCATGTTCAATTTGACGAAAGCAGAGCTTGGGACGTGAGGCTGGACAGGGTGCGGATGATGGAAGGGGTGGGGGAGGGGTTGGATGGAGGGACGGGCTAAGCTGAGTGGTCCATCGGAATCTTTCCAGAGAGGAGGGGATAAGACCCAAGAGGGAGTCATGAAGGCTCGGGATGGGACCCAAGGGGGAAGAGACTCAGGCATCACTTCAAGGAGATGCCCCCTTCTGGGTGCCCTGCTAAGGTTCCAGATAGAACCCTTCTGGTGGGCTGGGCTCTCTGGGCCAGCGAGGTGACATGCTGGGGGGTACGGCCAGTTCACTGCCTGGCTAATGAGTGAGGCTCTGGAAGTGCTACTGCAGCAATTCTGCTGAGCCCAGACTGCCGCCCGCCTCTCCCTCCTCCAGCCTGGGGCCCTCGATCATTCCAGACAGACACATGTATTTATTTTTCACTCTTTTGCATTTCTCATTTCCCTCTCCGTGTCCCTCCCCCCCAGCCTCCTAAACCGGCCCTGCAATGCGCCTCTCTCTTTTGGCGGCTCCAGCTCCACATCAACCATGTCAGAGTTGCCTGGAGAAGCTGGGAGGAAGAGGTTTGGGCAAGCCCCCTCCCTCTTGATGCTAGGTAACCAGGGGTCTTCTATTCAGGGCCAGGGCATGAGCCCAGGCCCCTCCTCTTAAACAGGGAGAAGAGAGAGTAATAGGCCCTACTGAGCACTCACTGCAGGCCTAGCTTCACCAGCCACTTAAATCCATTATCTCTAATTCTCATAGCATCTCTGAGAGGCAGAGCGGACCTCTCTAAATTACAGGTGGGGGAAGCAGGGGGAAAGACCTGAATGGGGGCACAGAATGATGAAGTGGTGGGACTTGAACCCAGGACTCTCTAAGGTCAAAGTCCTCTGGCAGCCAGTCAGCACAGACACGCGTGGTGACCCCGGATGGTGGCCTGGGGTACTGACTCACCGCCAGTGACTCTGCCACTTCTTAGCGGTTTGACCTTGGGCCCGTCATGAACCCCGCTTTTGCCTCAATTTCCTCCTTTGTGAAATGAGGGTGACAGTACCACCAGACTCCTGGGATCGATTTCAGAATTCAAATAGATTTCCGTATTCAGCACCAAGGACAGTGCCTACCCCACGCTAAGAACTCCGTAAGTGCAGGTGGTTGTTGTCTTCTCAGGAGGCACTGCATGCCTGTATACAATGGCACAATCAAGCCTCCCTCACAGACAGACTGAAATGAGAGGCGATACACACAGCATCAGGCTCATGGTGGGCGCTCGATAAATAGTGGCTGCTGTAACTGTTAGGAGAGAGGATCTCCCTGTCACTCTCCTCTGCATGTTGCCCCCACCCCCTGGGCAAGACACAATGCTGGCTTGAGTGACTCTCCAGGGACATGGCTGAGCTCTCTCTCTCTCCTCCTGGATGTATCCCAGGGACTCCCGCAGGGATGATGGAATCATTTCCCCAATCTGGGGTTCTTTATTGCAGCCATTACAGTTAATGCGGATGCATGGGGATGGTGAAGGGTCAGTGATTCAACCCTGGTTCCCCAGGCCCCACACTCCCGCCCACCTCCTTCACAAGTCAGCAGCTCCCCAGAATCAGCAGAAAAATGGGTGCCAGGCTTGTGGATGCTGTAGGACCACTTTGTGCCATCCCCCTAAGTTTAGCAGATTGCATTTTACAATGCACCATCACGGCTCTTCTCTCCTTCAGTCCTCATGCCAACTCGATGAGGTAGATGCAGTGACATGCTGGCAAATGTTTGACCATTGGATCTGGGGGACGGAGGGGTGGGGATAAATGCCCTGTTTTGTAGTGTTTGCTGATTTCTACGGTGTAAATACTCTCACCATGACTAATTTCAAACTACCAATGTGATATCAAGTGGCTTATGAAACTCCTGAAAATCAATATTTGGCTCTCATGAGCTGATATAAGCCAACTTCAGTATACTCCTGCATCATTTTCATTTTACAGATGAGGAAACTGTTATGCACAGTGAAGGATGACAATGTAAATTAATAATTAATAATAATGAAACCCATTATTACACAAATGTCTTCAATGATAATGATAGATTGTTTATTAAATAACTACCTTGCACTACATGTTATAAGCCCTTTATGCATAGTATCTTATGGAATTCATATAATAGAGTCTTGAAGTAAGCTCTATTAAGATTTCTACTTTGCAGGTAAGGAAATGGAGGCTGAGTGAAGTTTAATAAAGACCCCCTTTTGTCTCAATTTCATCATCTGTGAAATGGGGGTACTCAGGACCATTGTGAGAACTCAAATAGATTTCCTTGCTCAACAGCTGGGACAGTGCCTGGCTAAATTCATCCAGCAAGGAAATAGGAGAGGCAAGATTCAAACCTAGGTCGATCTGATGTCAAAACACACACGTATCTTGCCTTACAAGGTAGTAGGTTGGGGATCAATAGAAGTAGAAGTAGACGGGCAAGTGAGAGAAGAGTCGAAGAAAGGACAGAAAGGAAGAGCAAGAAGAGAGCAAGGAACTGGATTCAGGATTCTCCCTCCCTGGAATTTAGTTCAAGCCCAGACTTTCAGAAGCAGGGCTGGGATTGGCTAGAATGAGCCATTCGCTGTCCGTGGTGCTGCCCCCAGCCCTTCTGCTATTTGAGGTTGAGGGCCTAATTCCAGACTGTCGTAGGAAGGATTGCCCAAAGGATTCTTGCGTAAACAGGATATCAGAACTCCAGGGCTCCATGTAGAATGTTGGATATGGAAAGGCTGCTCCTTGGAAAGCACAGAAGCCAGTGGTTCTCAACCTGGCTGCACATTAGAACTCTTAGGAGCTTTAAAATAGAACTGATGTTGAGCCCCAACCCAGATTAATTTAATAGCACTCCCTTGGGGGTGGAGCACAGGCAAGGGTATTTTAAAAGCTCCAACAGTGATTCAAAAGTGCATTCCAGACTGAGAACTGATGCCCAAGATGCAACCCCTGATTGAACTGATGAGGAAACAGAGTCACAGAGAGACTCAGACCCTTTCCCCAGGTTAAGTCATTAGTAAGGGGTAGGAAAAGATTCCAACCCACATCTCTGTAGCCAGCATGTCACCCTCCTGGACTCACTGTGCCTGCACTGAGACTGACACACAAAAGGAAGCAGCAAGGATGACACAAGGCGCCAAATCAGCATGAGAAGGTGGACACTCCTACAGAGAGATGCCCCTTGCAGCTTCGTGGAGACGTGGGACTTTGGCATCAGAGAGTCCTGGGTTCAAATCCCACCACTTCCTCACTCTGTGCTCTCAATCAAGTCTTTCCCTTGTTTGGCCTTTTTCCTCATCGATAAGTTAGAGGGTCACACTCTGCCTCTCAGAGATGCTATGGGAGTTAGAGATGATGGATTTAAGAGGCTGGTAAAGCCAAGCATTTAGTAAGTGCTCAATAAGAGTTTATTCCTTTCTCTTCTCTCTATATGGTCAGAAGATCTCTGGGGCTGTGTCTTTGCCCCTGAGTGGGAGACTCCTGGGCACCAGATTCAGGAGGGTGGGGGCTTGCCCACCCTTCATTTCTAGTTTATCTGGGTGGCTCTGACATTGTTTATCCTGGGTCCAGAACTAGAATCCATGCTCTGGCTCCCAGGTCAGAACGCTTTCTCCTCTCCCTTTAACCCTTGCTGTTCATGAAATCCAACTGAGGCCCAAACATGGGCCCCAGAACCCCAAGCTGCTCAGGGAGAAGGTGGTGCCAGGTGGAGTGGAGGTCAGGGGTTGAAGACAAATTCTCATTCCAGCCCTGTCCTTGGCTCTCTGTATGGCTATGAGACAACTACCCCACCTGACTGGGCCTCAGTTCCCCTTCTGTAAAATGGAGATAACGCTTTACGCTTCCTGTATCCTGGATGAGGGAGACCCCTTGATGAGATGAAAGAGACGGAACGCTTTGGAAAAGAACAGAGTCCTCTACCGAGGTGACCAAGTGTCATTATTATGAAGATGTTAGTAATTATTATCATCCTATTTCTTCCCTACCTTCCTCTGCTGCCCTGCTGGGCCCGGGGAAACCCTTGGCTCACATTTAGCTTCTCAAACATTTTTGAAAAATGAGTCCCAC